ATTTACCACAGTGGTTTGTTTATTCTGGCCTACTATAGAAACATTGTGGTTCAATATGGCGGCCTCTGTAGAAGAGGACCCACTCACTCTGTAGATAAAAACATCTTATTCTAAGGTAACAAAAACACATTATCTTCAGGGTTTTCACACTAATGAAAAAATACCTATTAATATTATATTCCATTTCTGAAAATAGATCCTCCACTGGACCATTAAATTTCCAGAGTTCTGTCAGATTATGTATTTTAAGATTTGTGAGTGTGTGTGTGTTACCAGGTGGCTTGGCTGCTCTGATGTACACCGACACATTTCAGACATTTGTCATTATTGCCGGGGCCTTCGTCCTCACCGGCTTCTGTAAGTATGATTTATACAGCAATATATTTAATCTTAATTCACACTCCACACATTTCCTGGTTTTGGCCTCTGTCAGTCCTTGCAGGCCTGACAGTCCCTCCGCAGCAGCTTCACAACAGGAAAGAGATTAACTAGGGTCAGTAATCATTCATTTCACTGCAGTGGGGTACAGTATGCTGACACTGCAGAGCCACAAAACTCTCGTCCTCCTGCCGACACAACAACTGCCCCCTTACAACCTTATTGATTTTTTCATAAAAGGTGAATATATATCACTCTAATCCTGGTGTAGATTACCGACAAAGTCAAAGAAGGAGGTAGACAAGATGAGAGTGGGCGAGAAACCAGTGGAGGAGGAAAAAAAACAGCCATCTCCTTCTATGAACTGGTGATGCGTTGAGAACAAAGTGCTGACCCAGCAGCTGACTCATATCTTCAGTTAGGACAGTATCAGACAACAAGAGAGCCCCGGACAACTGAGCTGAGTAGGAAAGAACAAATACAGTGTGCTTATTATTTTACACAAAACATTCTGTCTTGTTTTACATGCTAATATTGTAGGAACAGGAGCATCCATACTATAAAATGCTGCTACCTGAATTTAAGGCAGTTGAATTGACTTTGGAGGTGAACTGACTTTCCCTTTAAATGACAATGACTTTGATCCTTTTCACTTCCCACTTCCAGCTTTTGTTAAAGTTGGAGGCTACAGCGCTCTGCTGGCCAAATACAGCTCTGCTACACCAAGTAACTTCTCCTCCATGGATCCCCAGCGCTATAACATCTCCCTACACTGCTACACCCCCAGACAGGACGCCTTCAACCTGCTGAGGGACCCAACCACAGGGGACCTGCCCTGGCCGGGAGTGATATTTGGGATTGCTATAGTGGGAGGCTGGTACTGGTGTACAGACCAGGTGAAATGCTTTGGTTTGGTTTCTTCATCTTAAGGGGAAATTCAAGGATCTCAAGGACAGGGAACGTGCAGAAAGTGACACAGAGAGCTGGTATTAGTGATAAAAGTACACACGTGTAAACTCCCCACAAACCTCAACTAGATTCCCAGCCCTGTGCTTTCTATAAAAATAATTACATAGTACATTATAATCTCACATGATGAGTGCAAACACAAAATAATCCATCCTGCCTTGTATTTCTTTAGGTGATAGTCCAGCGGTGCCTTGCAGCTCGTAGTCTGACCCATGTGAAGGCCGGCTGCATCATGTGTGGCTACCTCAAACTGCTGCCAATGTTCCTCATGGTGTTCCCTGGCATGATCAGCAGGGTCCTCTACCCAGGTATCTGGCTTATACTTGGCCTTTCAAATCCACTTTAAAAGGGGTAGACAAAAACTAACATTATAATAGCAGTGTATAAACTCATCTGTCATGTATAAAGCCCTTTAATTAAACAAATGCCTGAATTTTTATAGGAAGGAAATCTGTATCTTTACAGTGTGTGCGTGTGTGTGTGTGTGTGTCCACCTGCAGATGAGGTTGGCTGCGTTGTCCCTGAGCTGTGTAAGATGGTGTGTGGGACTGAGGTGGGCTGCTCCAACATTGCTTATCCTAAACTGGTGGTGTCCATCATGCCGAACGGTAAGGACACATAACAGTGGCTACCTTTAAAAACAAAGAGGATGAGGAGAAGTTTTATTTTTAATTTCTCATCCCTTCAAAAACCTTTCTCGGATTTTCTCTCTTTTCTCACCCTCCCTCCTGACTTCTCTCTGTCCCCTTCTTCTTCCACCCACCCTCCTTCCTGACTTCTCTCTGCGCAGGTTTGCGAGGTCTGATGCTGGCTGTGATGCTGGCTGCTCTCATGTCCTCTTTAGCCTCCATCTTTAACAGCAGCAGCACTCTGTTCACCATGGACATCTGGACACGCATCAGACCACAGGCCACCGAGAGCGAGCTCATTATTGTAGGCAGGTAAATAGACGGCATTATGGTAAACAAATGTTACCTTAAACTTCTCGGCCTTCAGATCCTTTGCATTTCTCAACCGCTGTATTTCTTCTCTCATCGACCTGCCTTCCTACTTTCAGTCCTGAAAAGAGGAGGTAGTCTGTGCACTAAATTTATGTATCCCAAACAATTTTCTGTGCACATAAAAAACATCATATCCTAAAAAAGAATTGTAGCATATAAGAGTTTATCCTTGACTGTTTGCTAATATGCCTTGAAGTCTTTTCCATGATGCTTTGATGTCCCTCCATGCATAGATGACAGCATTTACACTGCTAGGGTTTAGGTTAGGGATCAACTAATGTGGCCTTTTGAAGGACCGTTTTTTAGATTTTGCATGCAGGTTTCCAGTAGCTGTTTAGAAATTGGACTATTTGTTGATCAAAACATCCATAAAATTCCCCATTTCCTCCTTTATTAGACTGCATCGCATAGCCTAACGAAAGCTTTATACAGAGGGAGGCCCCTGAAATGCTACTACAAAACTAGTGCAGTTTTGACCAATTATTGAATTATTTTAATTTTATATTTTATAGTTCAATATTCGAATCTGAGGTCATTAGTGTCTTCTTTCATCTTATTTTTCCTCTCCTATTTAGAGTCTGGGTTCTGTGCATCGTAGCCATCAGTATCTGTTGGATCCCAGTGGTCCAGGCGGCTCAGAGCGGTCAGCTGTTTGATTACATCCAGTCAGTCTCAAGCTATCTGGCTCCGCCTATCGCCTCAGTCTTCCTCCTGGCTGTGTTTGTGAAGAGGGTCAATGAAATGGTGAGATAACACATTTATACATATCAAATAAATCATATATCACCACTGATGAAACACCTGGTGAAATAAAACATTTGATTTCATCTGCTTCGACGTTCAGGGTGCGTTCTGGGGCCTGATAGGCGGCCTGCTGATGGGTTTGTGCCGGATGTTGCCTGAGTTCTGGTTCGGTACTGGCAGCTGTATTTTCCCCTCCAACTGCCCTTACTTGGTGTGTGGGGTCCATTACCTCCACTTTGGAATCATACTCTTCTTCTGTACGTCAGTGCTGGTTCTGGTGGTCAGCTACTGCACAAAGCCCATAGAGGATCAACATGTAAGCAGCTTCGTACTTACTGTACTCACAGATGCACTGATTCAATAAGACCTCATAGGTTTGTGTAGCAGGTACAGACAAGACTAGACAGGGGGGTCCATGACATGAAAGCATTTTGAGACCCCTGATCTGCATCTGGATTAAGCAGCATTTAGAAGAACATTTACAAAAAAGTTGTCTGTCTTCTGCTTTTTCAGCTCCATCGTCTGGTGTTCAGCCTGCGTCATTCCAAAGAGGAGAGGAAGGACTTGGACTGGGAGCAGGAAGATAGAGGGAGAAGAGCCCGGAAAGCGGCTGAGGAGAGGATAAGGGAGAGTAACAATAGTGGTCAAGGTAAGAAAGAAAATAAGTCATAGTCATGAAGAAATTAAACCAACATACACTCACAGAAAGTACCAACTCCTCTCACTTCTCAGGGGCTCAGGAGGAAGCAAAGTCTGGTATCTGTCATCTGGTTCGTCGCTTCTGTGGCGGCGGTGGCTCACAGGCCCCAGAGCAAGACGCACCCGAGGCGCCAGAGAAGCTGCCTGACATCAGCGAGGACCCGGTGTGGAAGTATACTGTGGATGCTAATGCTCTCATTATGATGACTATTGCAGTTTTTATGTGGGGTTACTATGCTTAACAGTCCTATTAATTGTAGTGGATGTTAAATTGTGAGTTGGTATCTTGATGTGATGAGGTTTAATCACTGGTGGGTTGATCTTCAAAGGACTCAAATAAATAAATACATTGTTGCCATCTGTTGGCAATTATGTGTCACTGCACTGCAAATCATAGGGACGTTTTTCACAATGAATAAAGATTCAAAATAGGCAGTCATGCAGATATACTCACTTCTCTGTAGAGCACAATAGGTTGTGATCCTTCACAGCATTTCTCCAGTTTTAAGGAGCATGTGTAATGTGGTCTAAAAATGTTTTATCGGGTTTGAATGCCATTACTGTATATTGTTACATGTTGATTCAATCACAAGTCAATCTGCCTCAGCTTCCAGCACTTAAATCTAAGGTGTGACAAAAAGAAATGTAATTTGGAAGCCAGGTAAAATGTAAACTCAATAAAGCCTCAAGATTATTTATTTAAAGATTTTTTTAAACTTCTTTTAAAACTTAGGAACAAGTTCAGCTCTGATAAGATGTGATAACCAGTGCTACAGTCATTGTAAAGGACAAATGATTTGTCAGCTTTAAAGCCATCATTGATTGCAGGTGGGGTATTTACTCATCAGACACCACACAAACCAGGTAGTGATTCAGATTTCCAGTTTTAATCATCACTTCTGTTTTTATTTAAGCAGATATTTCCCATTAGCATTGTACATGTCTGGAACCTACAGAGTTCTCCCATGACTACCCAACCATCTTCCCACCTCCATGCAGAGTTTCAGCATCATTCATCACATCAGTTCTTAAAATGTCCAGTCTGTCAGCTTGCAGGGGTGGGGGAGTGTAACAGCAGGGGAGAGGGAGAGGGAGGGGAGGGGAGAGAAAGGAGTTTTTTCAAGAATGAAGAGTCAGAGCCGTCACCAGGCACTGTTCATCTTACGCTCCCACACAAAGAGTTATGGGTGGATCCAGTAGAGCTGGATGGAGTCTATGGAGCATCTGAAATCTAGCCACTTACAGGGTCCTGTGCAACTCCCAATACTCTTGATCATCTGTGAGGTATCTGACGCCTCAGTCTCCTGCAGGGTGGGTAAGAGGTAGGGGGCTTTTAAGGCTGGAAGCTGGTGTAGAGAGTTTCTGTGGTCTGGGATCATTTGTTTCACCCACTTCGAAGCATGAATGACGGCTTTGGCAAAAAAAACAATTGCCCTCTGCCGAATCGGAGGATGGAGGGGAGGAGGAAAGGAAGAGAGCTGGGGGTTAAAACAAAGATGGAGTATTTAAAAAATACATCTTTGCAGGTTGAGTAGGATGACAGACCGATACAGGGAGAACACAGTCCTCAAGAATAAAAGCAAATACAACAGCAAACATTCTCTGACACACACCCCAATAAAACAGCCAAACAAAAAACAAAACAAAATGGCAAACAAGCAAGTCAATCAAACCATACAAAGTGACATCAGGCCTTTCCAAAGTGACATCAAGTTTCTCTTTTTAAATCCCATTTAATCCCACTGGTCTTAATCAACTATTTCCATCTCCCATAATTCTCTGTAAACCACAAAGTACTCGTTGGCTCCTCTTTCTCCTTATGGCTGGTCAGCAAGGTTAGGGTCCACTCTGAAACAATGACAAGTACAGGTCTCAGTTGCCAGTGACACTGGCTAGTATGGTGAGACTGTGCCAGTCATTAACCAATGGTATGGCTATTTCAGATTTAACGTCAGTGACACAGGCAATGATTTCAGCAGCATCATCAGGGGACTAATCAACATAGTACAACGTTACAGCACATTCAGAGAAATAGAATGGCGCATGGCGCGGGACAGGTACAAATGGCAATCATGTACAACGGAAAATCAAGTTTGCTTTATACAATCACATTTCTATAGCGACGCTGAACATTCCACCACTGAAAACTTAAACATCTGTTGGACTCAGTACAGCTCATTCCTTGAAGCACCATTGTACAGCTAACATGGTTGTTTGTGGTACAACACAGAACACAGAACAAGTATTGGGAACAGTAAGCAGGCTCTAGGGCATTACATTTCTATGCGTCACTTTATGAATGCTAATCTCAATCAAATACACTGCAACGTTTCCACATGAATACCTAACAACCATGAACGGAGTTAGACAGAAACCCCAATGAGGAAGAGGCAGAAAGAGGGCTGACTGACAGCAGCAGGAGGGGACCCCAACCCTGGTATGCAAACTTTTTTAAAAAGGTGCCACTCTGGAGCACAGTGGGGAGGAGAGGGATTTTGGAGGGCTTGGGGAAAAAAAAAAAAGGCAAGGAGAGCGACACACCTCTCTTCCTTCTTTACCTCTCAACCTCCCTCCACTGAGGGCAGGTACGAGAAGAAAAACAAAACGGTCCTGGAGTGCTGATTCCTCCTTGTACTCCTTTTTTTCCCTGTTCGTTCTATGAACAGAGATCAGAGGGAGAAAGAAGGGGGCGAGCAGGAGGAGATGAGAGTTGTATGTGTGAGGTGTACCCTTTCCTCTCTACCTGGCCTCCTCCCTCCTGTCCTCCCTCTTGGTGCGAATGGATTGAGAGCCATCAGCAGGCTGCTGGACCCAATTGTTATCATGGAGCCCAACACGGCAGCCCGGTGTGTCCTTGTCTGTACGCCGGCAGCACATCCAGTAGGAACGTCCATAAGGCAGGTCATGGTGGTAAGGTTTGGGGTGCCAACGGCACAGGGAAACATCCCCGCGCTCATATTGCCGCTTACACTGCTTGCAGGGGTCATCTCTGTAGAGAGGGTCTTGATTCCAGCGTGAATCCACTGCCCGCACCCCGTATGTCTCGATCAACACCTTGAAGTAGTGGCAGGTGCACTTGAGGGCTGCCAGTGAGCGTGTCGGCAAGTAGCTGAAGATGTTGACCATGATGTGGTCGGGCAGCAGCAGCATGTACTGGCGCGGTTCAAGGAGGCGCTGAATCTGAAATCGGATCTCCAGGAAGTCATGGGACACGTGGCGGTAGAGGCGACACAGCGAAGAGTCTGAACAGTCCTCCCCAACACTAGGAGAATCTGGTCGAGGTGCCCGATCTCCTGAGCCCACTGCCACACCCGGCCCGGGGCCGTTGTTGTTGGCACAGTCCAAAGAGCAGATTCCTGACCCACTGCCAGCTCCCGTTCCTTTCACATCCTCCTCTGGCCCCCGGGGGGGCTGAAGGAAGAAGAGTTGTCCAGGAGGGGGATCATCTGATGAAGGGTCAATGGAGCTGCCTACACCTCCACCGCCCCCTCCACCACTAGGCATAGCGAAACACACCGTCTCCTCCTGCACGTTCTCTGTACTGTCTTTGCCATAAAACACACATTGGTCCACAGCGCCTGTCACCACCACCTCCACATGGAAGCCAGTCACTCGCTCCCGTCCCACACCCACAGCTTTCTTCTCCCCAGAGGAAAGCTCCTGGGTTGGGTCTGGACTGCCACAGGCCTGCCTGTCTGGGTGATGGAGGTCTCCATCTGGTTTGGGGGCAGCAGTTGTGGCGGCAAGCAGCAGACTACTGGGGTCTCTAGATGAGGGGCTGACAAGCTGGTAGAGGTCACAGGTAATTTTCTCTTTGGCCCTGGCGGCTGCCTGGTTACCCCCCCCACCACAGCTCATAAACATACAGCGGGACCTGCCAGCTGGCTCCAACTGAGAGCGCGGGTCCAGATTTGACACTCTGAAAGCTATCCTAACCTCACCATGGCTGTGGTGGCTGGGGGGTGGAGGTGGGGTTGCAATGCCAGACTCCCCTCCTCTACTACGCTCCCTTTCTCTGTCTCGATTGGAAGAGTCTGTTCCAGGACCACCGCCCAGATGGAGCCGATTCTCCAGGTTCTGTGACTCAAAGTGCGCGATGGCCTGGGCTACCCTGCATGATTCCTGCTGCTCCTCCAGCTCCTGGTCTGTCTGGATAGGAGATGATGGCTCCTGGGCTTCTTTGGAGGGCTGGCCACTTGAACTGTCTGACACAAACACCACAGGAGTTGGGTCTGACACTGTGCCCCGGAGAAGGGTGTGCTGGTGAGGGGTAAGGCCCTGACTGTGATTGGTTGTAGAGGGCTGGTGGTGGTGTTGGCTCCCATGAACAGCCACAATTCCCTGGAGGGCCATGGCGGTCCTCTGCTCAACCAAGGCAACCATCTCTGCCACAGAGAGCAGGTCCGTCTCATTCACCCCCCCTAAAAGTGGCTCATCAGGGCTAGGAGGTGCAAGGGAGGAGTCGTGGCTGAGGTGGGGCTCTAAGGCTTGAGAGCGAGTTGGAGGGTCATAGGATGAGCATCGTCTTCGTCTTTTGGCTTTACTGCAGTCAGTTGCCCAGTTACCTTTAACCTGTCGAGAAGAAAAATGATTCAGATTTAGCTGAAGAATAACCAAATCGCACTAAAAAAAAGCAAATTGCTGCCAAACATTTTGTTTTAGCTCTTTACCTTCATGGCGCTGGGTCTGGGTTGGCCTGCTCCACTAAACTGGTGTGCAACGAAGAAGGCTATCTTCTCCTTGGTGTTGCCTGGCTTGATGACATACCAGGTGTCTAACAGCACACGGCCATCCTCCATCTGTGAACCGGAAGAGGGTGGAGAGGGAGGGGCTGAAGAGGGAGGAGGAGCCTGACTCGGTGTCGAGGAGCTGGAGACAAGCTCAGGTTCAGGTGGAGTGTTCTCTGAGCCCACATCGTCCTCTTCTCCATTCGCTTGCTGCACCCCCACTATCATCCCCCCATCTTCACTTCCATCTACCGTCCTTCTGGCATCTGGAGAGGGCTCAGCCTTGCACAGAGAGGGGGACCCTGTCCCACCACCGCCTCCACCACCACTGCCCCCTGAGCCTGGGCTCCTTGCTTTGTTCTGGGAGTAGGTGCCAAAGGGGCGTGGGCACCACAGACGGATGTGGGAGAAGGTGTCTCGATCCATCAGGATGCGGACCACCGGGGCATATCGGCATCTATGCTGGCCAGCAAACACCCAGAGCCAGAGCTCTCATTGTCAGCTCCCCGTCCCAGTGCCAACCTGACGGGCACTGTCTGTCACCAAGGTCAGCAGCACTGGGCATGCAACCTGCACCAACAGGAAAGGGAGAGATACAAGGAGAGGGTCGGGGACAGGCGTGGGAGGAAGGAATGAGAAAAAAGAAGGAAACGGCACAGTCATACATCAGGTCAGTCACTGAAAACAAAGTTCATATCTCTAGAGCAACAATGCTCAACAGGGCAGCCGGGATCACTTCAGATAATCAATGACCAATTGAGGCTGTATTGGATAGCTGCCTGGAGGCACATTGAGACAGGCTTTCAGCAGTGTACACCAGCAGCCCAGCCACCAGACTGGACAGAACAC